GTGTGTGGTTGTGTGTGGTGTGTGTGGTGTGTGTGTTTGTGTGTGGTTGTGTGTGTGGTTGTGTGTGGTGGTGTGTGTGGTGTGTGTGTGGTTGTGTGTGTGTGGTGTGTGTTGTGTGTGTGTGTGGTGTGTGTTTGTGTGTGTTGTGTGTGTGTGTGTTGTGTGTGTGTGTGTGGGTTGTGTGTGTGGTGTGTGTGTTGTGTGTTGTGTGTGTGGTGTGTGTGTGTGTGTGTTGGTGTGTTGTGGGTGTGTGTGTTGGTGTGTGTGTGTGTGGTGTGTGTGGTGTGTGGTTGTGTGTGTGTGTTGTGTGTGGTTGTGTGTGTGGTGGTGTGTGGTTGTGTGTGGTTGTGTGTGTGTGTGTGTGTGTGTGTGTGTGTGGTGTGTGTGTTGTGTGTGTGGTTTGTGTGTGTGTTGTGTGTGTGGTGTGTGTGGTGTGTGTGTGTTGTGTGTGTGTTGTGTGTGGTTGTGTGTGTGGTTGTGTGTGGTTGTGTGTGTGTGTGTGTGGTGTGTGTGTGTTGTGTGTGTGGTTGTGTGGTGTGTGTGGTGTGTGTGTGTGTGTGTGGTGTGTGTGGTGTGTGTGGTGTGTGTGTGTGTTGTGTGTGGTTGTGTGTGGTGTGTGTGGTGTGTGTGTGTGGTGTGTGTGGTTGTGTGTGTGGTTGTGTGTGTGGTTGTGTGTGGTTGTGTGTGTGTGGTTGTGTGTGGTTGTGTGTGTGGTTGTGTTGGTTGTGTGTGTGTGTGTTGGTGTGTGGTTGTGTGTGGTTGTGTGTGTGGTGTGTGTGTGTGTGTGTGTGTGTGTGTGTGTTGTGGTTGTGTGTGTGGTGTGTGTGTGTGTGTGTGTGTGTGTGTGGTTGTGTGTGTATGGTTGTGTGTGTGTGGTTGTGTGTGTGTGGTTGTGTGTGTGTGGTTGTGTTGTGGTGTGTGTGTGGTGTGTGTGTGTTGTGTGTGGTTGTGTGTGTGTGTGTGTGGTTTGTGTGTGGTGTGTTTGTGTGTGGTGTGTGTGTGTGGTTGTGTGTGTGTGTGTGTGTGTGTGGTTGTGTGTGTGGTTGTGTGTGGTTGTGTGTGTGTGGTTGTGTTGTGGTGTGGTTGTGTGTGGTTGTGTGTGGTTGTGTGTGGTTTGTGTGTGTGTTGTGTGTGTGTTGTGTGTGTGGTGTGTGTTGTGTGTGTGGTTGTGTGTGTGGTGTGTGTGTGTGTGTGTGTGGTTGTGTGTGTGGTTGTGTGTGTTGTGTGTTGTGTTGTGTTGTTGTGGTGGTTGTGTGTGTTGTGTGTGTGTGGTTGTGTGTGTGGTTGTGTGTGTACATGTGTGTGTGTGGTTGTGTGTGGTTGTGTGTGTGGTGTGTGTGTGTGGTTGTGTGTGTGGTGTGTGTGTGGTCGTGTGTGTGGTGTGTGTGTGGTGTTGTGTGTGTGTGTGTGTGTGTGGTTGTGTGTGTACATGTGTGTGTGTGGTTGTGTGTGTGTGGTTGTGTGTGGTTGTGTGTGTGGTGTGTGTGTGGTTGTGTGTGGTTTGTGTGTGTGGTTGTGTTGTGTGTGGTGTGTGGGTGTGTTGTGAGTGTGTGTGTGTGTGTGGTTGTGTGTGTGGTGTGGTGTGTGTGTGTGTGTGTGGTGTGTGTGTGTGTGGTGTGTGTGGTTGTGTGTGTGTGTGTGTGTGTTGTGTGTGGTTGTGTGTGGTTGTGTGTGTGTTGTGTGTGTGTGTGTGTTGTGTGGTGTGTGTGTGTGTGTGTGTGTGGTGTGTGTGGTGTGTGTGTGTTGTTGTTGTGGTTGTTGTGTGGTTGTGTGTGTGTGTTGGGGTTGTGTGTGGTTGTGTGTGGTTGTGTGTGTGGTGTGTGTGTGGTTGTGTGTGGTTGTGTGTGTTGTGTGTGTGTTGTGTGTGGTTGTGTGGTTGTGTGGTGTGGTTGTGTGTGTGGTGTGTGTGGTGTGTGTTTGTGTGTGGTTGTGTGGTTGTGTGTGGTTGTGTGTGGTTGTGTGGTTGTGTGTGGTTGTGTGTGGGTTGTGTGTGGTTGTTGTGTGTGTGTGGTTGTGTGTGGTGTGTGTGGTTGTGTGTGGTTGTGGTGTGTGGTGTGTGTGTGTGGTGTGTGGTGTGTGTGTGTGTGGTGGTGTGTGTGGTTGTGTGGGTTGTGTGTGGTTGTGTGTGTGGTTGTGTGTGGTTGTGTGTGGTTGTGTGTGTGGTGTGTGGTGTGTGTGTGGTTGTGTGTGGTGTGTGGTTGTGTGTGTGGTGTGTGGTGTGTGTGTGGTGTGTGGGTGTGGTTGTTGTGTGTGTGTGTGTGTGTGTTGTGTGTGTATGGTGTGTGTGTTGTGTGTGGTTGTGTGTGGTGTGTGTGTGTGTGATGTGTGTGTGTGTGTGTGTGTGTGTGTGTGTGTGGTGTGTGTGTGTTGTGTGTGTGTTGTGTGTGTGTGTGGTTGTGTGTGTGGTGTGTGTGGTTGTGTGTGTGGTGTGTTGTGTGGTGTGTGTGTGTGTGTGTGTGTGTGTGTGTGTGTGGTGTGGTGTGTGTGTGGTTGTGTGTGTATGTGTGTGTGTGTGTGTGTGTGTGTGTGTGTGTGTGTGTGTGTTGTGTGTGTGTGTGTGTGTGGTTGTGTGTGTGGTTGTGTGTGTGGTTTGTGTGTGGTT